GGTTTATATCATGTTCGAACTACGCACCATTAACGATTTGACAATGTGCGTGCGTGCGCACTCAAAGCTAAATCTAAATTTTACCCCTTTCCTATTAAATCGATAATCAAATTTGAAATTATTTTTATTGCGAAAACCATATATCGGCTGTAATTATCATTATTGTTATTCTTCACGCGGCACTTAAGCGTTCTTTCAAAATTATTTATCTGGTTATTGCGATAAATATTATCACATGTCTCAGTGGTCGAATGGATAAGACACTCGCACGTTAAGCGAGCGATCTAGGTTCGATTCCTGGCTGGGATAATATTTTTCGCAATAAAAATAATTTCCAATAATCGGGGATTAATCGATTTCAAATTTGATTATCGATTAATAGAGAAGGGGTAAGATTTAGATTTAGTAGACTACGTTGCAAGATCGTTGAATTAACGATACGTAGTTCGCGATAAGCATTGTCTTGAAATTTAAAAAGTAAAAAATTGCTGGACACGAAGACCCAGTCTGCCGATGGAAGCCTCTATTATCTATTTGTTGAAACATATATCGGCTCTAATTATCATTATTGTTATTAAAATGTAAAATTCAATTCTCTTCATAGACATTAAAAAATATTTTGTTACATATTCTTTATATACGGAAATAATAGTACTAATGTGTTACCTTCTTAACTTTTTCTTTCTTAACTATTTATTATAACTAAACTCTATCATAAAGTTTGTAGAAAGAATATATCTTAAAAATGTTCATTAATCGTGGATATGTAAAGATTGTAAATGATAGAATATATGATAAACGATAAAATATATTTATTAAGTGTGAGAACTATTTCTGATTTTTCTTATGCTGAACCCTAACGTTTTACGAACAGCTTCGAATATCTTGATTTTCGACTGTCTGACCAACAAAGATATATCATTATACCATCATTAGTGGTGGAGAAAAAGGGTGATATATCATTACAATATAATATTTCAGCTCAGTGAAGTTTAAAGAGTTAAGTTAGAAGAAAAGTTAAAAGACTCAGTTATGATGTTTCCTTATCACCAATAAGAAGGGTGAGTGTGCGTCACGGCGGGGCCCGACCACGAACCAGTCGTGAAAACTCGTAATTCTTTGCGAAAAAATACCACCTCAGCCAGGAATCGAACCTAGATCTCCTGCTTACCGGGCAGGCATCTTATCCCTTCGACTACCGAGGCATGTGATGATATTTATGGCAAATAACATATTTAGAATAACACGTCAACAATACAATATATATATATATATATATATATATATATATATATATATATATATATATATATATATATATATATATATATATATATATA